GTTGGATGCTGCTGCTTTGGGGGACAGAGCGGGCACACGGCACGGGGCAACAGCAGCGCTTTCATTGCACCTGGCTGTGTTTCCTCTTTGGGGCTTTCTGTGGGGTATAACGAGCCATCCTCGAGGTTTTTGGGGTGCGAAGCAGCACCCCCAGCAGCAGTGGGTACCCTTTGTCTGTGCCCCCAGCCACATCTCCAAAGAGTACCCAGCTGGGATGCGGCCCGTGGCCTCCCTGGCCATCAGTGCCACCAGCTGTGCTCTGTGGCAGCCCCCCGAGGCTGGAACGCGTCTTCCCTGCCCCACGGAGGCATCGGGGGCCACAGGGATCTGGCAGCATGGAGCATGTGCCCAAACACCCGCCCAGGCACTGGCATCGGGACGGGCTCTTGGATGCCACCCTGGGCATCTCAAAAAGCTTCAGGGGGGGCTCAAAACTTCCCCAGGGGGCTGTGACCCTGCAAGGGGGGTGAGGGCACCCGCACCCCGCCACGCTGCCGGGCCTCTCAGCCTTCTCTGCGAAGCTGATGCTGAGATGATGGCAGCTCCTCCTGGACCCCCCGGCACCCAGCAGCCCCCCCATGGGTGCAGCCAGCCCTGGGGAGGGCACAGCCTGGCTGTCACCCAGGGCCCCAAACCCGCCATGCCCATCCCTCCCTGCCTCCCCGGCGTGGTTTCCCCGCGGCCCCGCCACCGTGCCCCAGGGGTTTCGGATCCTGTTTGCACAGCTGTGCCGGCCCCCGGGCCCCTGCGTGGGAGGCTGGAAAATGGTGTCACGCGGAAGCGAGTGTCAGCGTCCCTGCTCTCACCGGGGCGCTTCCTCCCACAGAGCACCCAAGCTTCCACCACCCTGGGGGGACGTGGGGGCCTGGCTGCCACCCTGGCTCCTCCAGGGACAGATTTATCCTCTTCTTTGGCCAAGGGTTTAGGGCAATGCTGGGTACCCCCCAGCTGCAGGCGCCTGCGGTGAGCCAGACCGACCGTCAGCTGAGGAGGGCTGGGGGGGAGCAGCCCGCTCTGTACAGGTGCCCCCAAACACCCCCAAACCATGTCGCCTTTGTCAGAGCCCCCTTTTCCCCAGGTTTTGGTGGGGGACATGGGGTCTGGGGCAGCAGCAGCAGGGGTCCCACTCGGCCCCTCTCCCAGGGGGACGGCAGCCAGGCTGACACCTCCCTGCTCCTCTCCCACCTTAGATCCTCAATATGGAAGATGACCAGAACTGGTACAAGGCCGAGCTGTATGGCTGCGAGGGCTTCGTCCCCAAAAACTACATCAAGGTCAAGCCGCACCCGTAAGTACCACCCCCCCGCGCAGGGAAGGGGGGGGCTCAAAGCCCTGCCCTGGCAGCACCCACCGGTGCCAGGCCATCTCCTCCCACCGCCCAGGACAGCGGTCCCAACAGCGCATCCCGATGCCCAAAGGTCTGCCACAAGCCAGGGGGGTCCCACAGATGGGGAAACTGAGTCACAGAGCAATGGGGCAGCGGCGGGGTCTGCCTGCTGGGTCGGGCTGCCATTGGCACCGCAGCCAGCGGGGACGGGAGGCGGCAGCACGCCCGCGTACCCCCGACAGACCGAAATTCAACCCTCGCGCTGGGCTGCCCGCTAAATAAATGATAACTGGGGAACAACAAAGCGTTACGGGATTACGGCTGCATTAGACACAATCCTATTACTGCGTTATTAAAGCCCAGCATAATCCACCCCTGGTTTAACCTGTGTTTTATGTATCATTATCCCCTGGTAAATCACATTTAAATGCCGTAGCAAAACCTGCTCGGGGCTGCGGCTGGGGAGCAGGAACGCGTGGGCTCGGGGCAGCCCGGGGCAGATCCCTTTGCCTCTCCGGCTTCACTTAACAAGCCAGGACGGGCGAGACGCAGCCTATTCCATGCAGCACCTGGAGGGCTGGCATGAGGAGATGCTCTGTGCTAAAGCCTGATCATTCACGGGACAATTTTAACAGGTAGCAGAGGGTCACCGTGGCCTGGGGCTCCCAAATACACGGATGCAGCCTTGGCAGGGATGGGAGATGGGGGACTCTGCTCCTCCACTTCATTTCGGCAGCAGGAAGGGTTTCATCCTGGCAGGGAGGGATTTCTGCTCCGCAAACCCCATCCTGTAGCACCTGGAAGGGCTGTTCGCCCAGGGACGCGGCGAGGGGGACAGGCAGCGAAGCAGGGGACACGAGGCGCGTGCTGTGGTGCGGCCGGTGACAGGATGTGGCTGCGTGGCCGATGGCGACGACGCTGCATGAGCCCTGCATGGATGAGGCAGCGCGTGGGGACACCCACAGCACCCCACGGTCCCTGCCTCCGCGAAAGCGCTGACATAAAGGGCTACAAAAATGATTCGAGGGCTGGAGCCCCTCTGCTCCAGGCCAGGCTGGGAGAGTTGGGGGTGTTCAGCCTGGAGAAGAGAAGGCTGCGGGGAGACCTGATTGTGGCCTTTCAGTACCTAAAGGGGGCCCATAGGAAAGGTGGGGAAAATCTTTTTAGTAGAGCCAGCTGTGACAGGACAAGGGGTGATGGTTTTAAACTAAAACAGGGTAGGTTTAGACTGGATATAAGGAAGAAATTCTTTACACTAAGGGTCGCAAAACACTGGAACAGGTTGCCCAGAGAGGTGGTGGAGGCCCCATCCCTGGGAACATTCCAGGCCAGGTTGGACAGGGCTGTGAGCAACCTGATCTGGTTAGCGGTGTCCCTGCTCCTGCAGGGGGGTTGGGCTGGGTGACCTCTAGGGGTCCCTTCCAACCCAAAACATTCTATGATTCTATGAAATTGGGGAGGGAAGGGAGAAGCCACCCCAATCCTGCCAGCACTGGGGCTCCTGGTGCCTCCATCCTGCGGGGTGGGGATGCAGCACGGGGGTGTCCCCGCACGTCGGGGGGTGCCCGCGCGGCTGAGCCCGGTGCCCCTCGCAGGTGGTACGCGGGCAGGATCTCCCGGCACCTGGCGGAGGAGCGGCTCCTCAAGCGCAAGCACCTGGGAGCCTTCCTGATCCGCGACAGCGAGAGCACCCCGGGGGAGTTCTCCATCTCCGTCAAGTAAGTGGCTGTGGGACGGAAGGGGCGAGCACCCTGCCCTGCCCCAGCCACCCCAAAGGGACTGGGGGCTGCGGAGCCGTGTCCCCAACACATCCAGGCACAGCCTCGCACAGGGCCTTCCTCTCCCTCCTCCCCTCTGCATCCTCACGCTCCGCCTCTGTCCCAGCCACTTCCTGCACCCTGCCTGCACCCTGCCTGCACCGCTGGGCTCCATCGCTGCCTCCCCCGGGGTCCTTCGCTGGGGTGCCCCTCAATGCAGCCACATGGGTCACAACGGGGCTGGGGCCAAGCTGTGAGCGCAGCCCGGGGGACGTGGCCTGGAGGAACACATTGCCCAGAGCATCCCCAGGGACAAAGGACCACGGCATCCCAATGCCGCAGGGCCAATGCTTTCGGCATCGGCAGCCAGGGCTGTGTGAAGGCAGTGTGCCAACGGGCAGAGCCTGCCCCCAGGCCTCTCACCCCATCGCTGCCCCTTCCCTGCCCAGGGCCAGGGGAGCAGGAGCCAGCCCCGGGCCAGCCAGGCACTTTCTCACGCTGCTAATCTCTAATTAAGCGTTTAAGGAGGTTCTTGCCCATAATGAAAGGGAGCCGTGTTCCGCCGTGCGTCACCAGCGTGGCCGGGTCCCTGCCCCTGCCCGGGGACCTGGCAGCAGCAGGTCCCCGCAGTGGCCCCCCGCCAGCCCCGCCGGGAGGCACCCCCAACTACC